AGATAGATAGATAGATAGATAGATAGATAGATAGATACTTTATTGATCCCTATTTGGGAAATGTTTGCGTTGCAGCAGCAATGTACATAAGAGAAATTAAGACACAAGAAATAAACAGTCCAAAATATTTCTGAAATATAAATAAAATAGCATTAAAAAGTAAAAAAATATATATTCATGTGGAAACAAATTGGAATTAATTGCTGTGTTTCAAATTAAAAGATGAGGATATCAATATCTCTTATGTCTGTGCATGTAGCACAGAGCTAGATGGACACTAGTACAGGGTTCTTACGGTCATTAAAAACCTGGAAAAGTCATGGAAATTCAAAATGCTAATTCCAGGCCCTGGAAAAGTTATGGAAAACAATATTTTTCCCAAAGTTTTGGAAAAGTCATGGAACTGTAACTAAAGTTGCATCAAATATAATTTATATTTTAGCTAATCGCCGAAATAGTAATACTATAATGATAATAAATAGTGTATCGTATAGTAATGAAACGTAAAATGGCATTTAACTGTCGAGGTATTTTGCTGGTGAGAGAGTTTAGTTGCTTTAGCCTGTAGAAGCTAGTAAGCCAACTATTTGATTTGTTTTAGATAGGCACAACATGTTTCATATGCAGACCTTATTTTCCTGTTCCATGTTAAAATAAACCATTTTCAGTGGTACCGCTGAGAAAGAGTAATGTTTTTGGTCATGGAAAATTAGGTAAAGGTCATGGAGAAGTCATTGGAAATCATTGAAAATCATTGGTAAAAAAGTGTATGAACCCTGCTAGTAGCTTAGCTTAGCTTAGCATAGAGGAAGGAAGCAGGGGAAACAGCTAGCTTGGCTCTCAATGAAGTTAAAAAATAAAGAGTACAGAGTCTTATTTTATATTCGGTAAATCATCTGGCTAATTGTTTTGTGGCTCTAGCTCCAGAGTCATGAGAGTGGCAGCCTTTCAAGATCAGCGAGATTATTTAAAAGGAATCAAATGATCATGTTTAGCTAAAAAGTGTAACTCTTCCATTGGTCATCAATCAATTAACAGTTACAAACATATAATCATGACTTTTAAATTACACAGTGTCTCTCATTAATCAGTAGACAAGAAAAGAGTTTTAAAAATGTCATTACTGGTTTAAATAAACTGATATTCTTCTTAACCTTGCTGCAGATTTACAAGAGCAAGTCATCCTGTAACAAGGTAATCCAATGCAAAGCTAATTGGTACAGATAGGTGCTGATTGGCTGACATCTTATATCCTATTTCTGCTGCAGCAATGACAGAAAGTGAACCTCCTGCTGTGAAACAAGCTGGTAACGCACGGGAAAGCAGAACATGATTTTAATTGGTTGAAAATCCAATCTGTAGCAGTGGTGTGATTCGAGAAATGTTGAAATGTAGGTGTCTATTCTGATAACTTCTCATTCTAAAACATGTTGTTTATAATAGGAGATGTCATGAGAATTGTAATTGTATACAATTAGCAACAACCACAACATTCTTTCAACATATAACATTACTTTTTTTCTAGGACTAGGACTTTTCAAGACATTTTTTTTACTTTTCTTTGACCTACTATGACTTCCTTCATAACCTTTTTCGTCATATTATACTATAATAAAGGTCCATCTTATCTTACGACTTTTTTAATATAAAAAAATGTCGACATAGAAATTATAGTTCGACAGACTATACTATAACTTTTTTTCATTATTTCTCTGCACACTATGATGATACTGTGGTCAGTTGTTGTACTCCATAACAAAAATAAATACCCAATGTAAAAAGCTTGAAATGTAATACAGTATCTCTACACACATAGACGCATACAAATTAAGAAAATATCTCAAATTGATGAGGGTGCGCAAATATGACCACATCACCCCCATCCTTAAATCACTACACTGGTTACCCGTGGAACTGAGGATAGAATTCAAGGTCTCCGTCCTCACCCACCAGTGTGTCCATGGAACTGCCCCTCCCTACCTCAAGGAACTCCTCACCACCCATACCACCTTGCGGACCACCCGCTCCAGCAACTCCAACCTGCTCAAAGCCCCCAGGACTAAGCTCCGTACTATGGGAGACCGGGCCTTCTGCTCGGCTGCTCCTAGTCTGTGGAATGCTCTCCCCGACCACATGAGAGCACCACAGAGCGTGGAGGCTTTTAAAAAAGGCCTCAAAACCCATCTCTTCAACAGAGCCTTTGCCTAGACCTTTTTACCACCCTTTTATTTATTTTTTTTAATATTTTTTTATTGCTTTTTATTAATTCTACCGTGTTGTGTCATGTCTATTTATACTGTTCATGCTCACTGCTTGTAGCACTTCGGGATTTGAATTCGAATATGAAGTGCTTTATAAATGGAACCCATTATTATTATTATTATTAAATAAACAAACGACAAAATAGACAGAAATGTGAACAATTTATTAAGCAACAGTATACAATCACTTTATTACATTTTTCAATGAATGTCTTGATGGTGAACCGTATTGTGATTTTTGTCATGACACTTTGTTGATGACATATTACACTTAATGACATTTTTGTGACAGATTTAACACTCAAAAAATGTACAAAATAAAACAAATCACAATTAGCCACGTCACCTGGTGAACAAAGTCAAAAGGAAAGCAGATTTTCCTTCACTTTACTGCTCTGAATGCACAGCAATAAGAATGAATACAAATCTTTACCATGCATTTCATTCACAAGCAGATCTGTCCGTCCCACACACTCTCCTCTCCTCCTCGAGAGGCAAAGTCAACGATCAATTCACTCATAATTATGAAAGTTATTTTGGCCCCGGAGAGCACTCACAATGAGAGGAGAGTGGAGAGAGGAAGTTTAGCCATCCTGTCATTTTAATTAGATCCAGATTTACCTTCCACGGCGGTGAAAAGCCCCACTGAGGACTGCAGAGGTGCTTTTGGCTCAAATGTTTGTGTCTGATTCTCCACCACACAGTGTGCCAGCAGACAGGAAGTTGGCTGGGAAACGAAGCTCAGCTCTCAACAAGAGTTCTGTTTACCGACTTCCACTCCTCATGGTGTAAGATGCAGATGCTGTTGTGGATTTATTCTCCAAATACACAGTGTGATGTCAACAATACAACTCGTGTGCAGAGGGCAGAGGTTGTTTGAACCTTTAGTTTTTTAAAGTGTGTCATTTAGTGATTGGTTTTATGTCCTTTTTTAAAAAGGTTTCAAGGCTTTTATTGTCATGTGTGCATAGCTACAGTGTTGTTATGACAATGGAAATCTTAGGTCACAGGCTCCTCCAATAGAGCAACACAATAAAACAGATAATAGTACAAGTAAATCAAATGTAATATAATATAAATAGTGCAGAATAGTCTATATACAAGTAATTGGAATATTGATATATATAAGTTGCAAACAGATGAATGTTATGGATGTTCTTTCAAAAGTTCAATCAACCTTGTAGCATTATACTGTAGGAGTTTAACCTTTATAAATACAGTGTAGGAGTTCAACTCATTAAATAAGAATACTTTTCTTATTAATAAAGTTACAGATAATGAGAAAATTCAAAGGACAATTGTTACGATCATCCAGATGTTTGCTCATACTTGTCTTAAACATGCAGTTCCAGACACAAGTATAGTGCATACATACATAAAAACACAAATGTTTGCACACACACACACACACACACACACACACACACACATACACACACACACACACACACACACACACACACACACGCACGCACGCACGCACGCACGCACACACACACATAGACAGCCACTTCAATTAGATTCTATTGGATTTTATTAAATCTTCCTTGAGCTTTCACTTCACGGCAGCATCCATCAGAGGATTATTATTTATCTTGCTGTCAAGAACTGGCAGCTCGTGGAACCCCGCTGAGACATGGGGCCCCGGACCAGAAGGGGGCCCCCAAAGAAGATAGATTAAGAAGGTCCACAGCAACGACAACATGAAACACCCTTTAATTTACTGCAACGAAAACCCCCCCAAGGCGGCCCCATGCATAGCGCCGTAAAAAACTGCTTCTTAATTTAAAGGGCCCATGTCATGCTTTTCCGGTTATTACCCGTCCCCTTGTGTGTTATGAAGGTTTTTATGCATGTAAACGGTGTGCAGAGTCACAAACCCTCAAAGTACACCCTGTAACCCCTAAAACTCTAACACAGAAAAGACCTCCCCAAAACGCCTCGTTGGAGATACGTCACTGTCCATTTGATTCTTCCGGGACGGCATGATGTCAAGCCGTACCCGGAACGAAATGGACCAATCCGTGGAGCCGTTACGTTACGTCCGCGGAGCCGTTACGTTAAGCCCCCGCTGATTGGTCCAAATTGACCAATCCACGGACTTCCTCACACACACATCTGTGTGCAGGGAGCAGGCAGCTCAGCTGATTTCTCCTCCCTGGCTGCAGGCTGATAACAGACAGTTGGGATCGCGGTGAAATTCTCTCCGCAGACCCATTCTCACAGCGTTTATCAACCTTTTTCTTACTCAATATCAAGCCACACTTATTGTTTTTACTTCGGCTGTGAGTTTGTGTGTGCTCAGGATGAGTTTGGCTGTGTTTCGCTATGTATCCTAAACAAGGAAACCACACCTCCACGGAGCTCAGCGCGATTCACAACGTCCCGACCAATCAGAGCACACTGTGCTCACAGGGAGGGTGGGGGCTGGAGCTATTGGAGCTACAACGAGCCGTTAAAGGCAGAGAGTGAAATTCAGTGAATACACGTAGTTTACAGAGACGCTGTATGAGAAACCAATGTGAGTTTGGAAAAATGCACAGTATAAATGTATTCTAGTATACCTCAACAATGGAATTATGATCAGTGGAAATTGCCATGACATGGGCCCTTTAAGTTTCGTTGCTCCGCTGCCTTCTTCCTGGGGCCCCCAGAGTGTGTTGGGGTGCCACTGGTAGGTGTAAGTAAGTAATGCTATTCAGTCTAGGTTGTGAATGCTGTCATGACAAACCATACAAGAAAGGTTAATAGGTCACTTTATTTAGTAAAACACAAAACAATGAAATGCACAGAAGAAAAAGCAATATTCCATTCAAATATATAGTTATAAAAATAATGACAATACAATACATTTTATGCCCATGCTGTAAATAGTAAGAATACAGTTTATATCCAACATGTCTGCCCCCTTTTTCACAATCCACCTCTGGAGGGACTCACATGTTTTCATAAAGCTGCTGCTGTACTCTCTGTTTGATGCTATTAAGCCAAAAAAAGCCAAATATCATTAATATAAATCTTATTATAACTCTGCTCGCTTTGCCCTTACCAGGGTTTTGTCTAAACTGGGTAACATGAGCTCTGCGTCCTCTAACTGACGTCAGCGCCCTCATACCAAAATGCAGATTTTCCCAGATGGTGTTCATGTTTGATTAAAAGGTGCTTTCGCCCATCGTTTTCCCTATGCTTTTGTGTGTTTTGCTGGGTTGTCGCTTGCTTTGCGAGCGATTACAAAAGGGTCTTCGCCGACCTCTGGTCTCAGACCCTAATTAGAAAATAAATGAATAATTCATTTGCAAAAACGAATTGAAGCCATACCTACATTAATACACCAACACTAGTTTTAATGGTATTCCCTGAAGAGTACATTTAACAAACAAAAAAAGATTCAGGATCATTTTACAATTTAGATATTTCCTGAAACGCTTGCATGCATGAACATGTGCAGCAGTTACTGTGAGAAAGGTATAGGTGTAAAACGACTACTGTACGTACAAGTACTGCTAATATTGAGATGTTATCAGAGACTAGACTATAGATCAGATACAGTATAACTATGTATGGGAATGTGAGAGCATAATTAAAGGAGGTTAAATCAGAAATTAATGAATATAATAAGCTATGTTTCCGGTCATATGGAGTTGAGTTTCTGAAGTGCCTCTCATGGGGCTCAGGTGTTCTCAGTCATCAGAAATGTTAAAATGATCTCATGGTTCTCCTGTTTTCTCCTGTAAAATATGAGGAGGTGATGTTTGACAGCAGTGGACTCTGAGGGGAGTTGATGTTGTTGATCAGTCACACAGAGGCAGAAGGCTCTCCATCGTTTTCATAGTCCACCTCATCTTCATCTTCATCATTCTGCTCCTGTCAACATGGAACAGAGACATGGTAAAAACACAGAGCAGAGCTGGAATTGACATTGATGTACTGAAGTACACATTTGAGGTACTTGAGAACTTGCACTTTATGCTACCTTATAGCTTTACCCAACTACATTTTAAAGCTAGCTATTTCACTTTTAACTGCACTTAAAGGTGGGGTAGGTAAGTTTGAGAAACCGGCTCGAGATCGCTAAAATTTGAAAATACACAACCGGAAAAAATCTGCCACTTCCTTACAGAGCCCCTCCTCCAACACACACGAACGCGCACATGACCAATGAGGGCACGAGATAAGTTTGTGCACAGATGGAAGGCTGACAGGCAGGTAGGCCATCCAGTTATTTTAGCCGGGCCGGCTCAGATGATTGGTCGTGCTTTTTACAGCGCCACGGCTTCCACAGATGAATTTTTTTATGGATTTATTGTCAAAGCATTTAATTTATTCATTGCTGTCGGGATGTTAAGAGCATTCCATGGAATATAACAAGTGTTTCTGAAATAAATTACATACCCCACCTTTAATTGATCACACAGCTTTAGTTACTAGCTACTTTGCAGATTAAGATTATTAATGCAAGATATGAATAAAATAAGAAATACTGATACATGAATGAAGCTCAGCGCAAGTTCTTCCAGGAAGACTGTCTCTACACTCATTCACAAATCCTCTCTCACTCACTCGCCCTTTCTTTCAATAAGCAAGTGCGCATCACTCGCCCAGCTAAACCAATCAGACATCTAATTTCCCACAAGCCAATCACAGCGCATCTTGCAAACGTTTAAATCGGCTTTCTTCTCCCCTGTCAGCTGTCATTGAGAATCAAGAATACTGGCCAAGCTGTATAGCAGTATAATAAGTTATCAAATAAACCCTACCAACGTATTAATACATTACAATTATAATCAATTTAATTAACCCTCCTGTTGTCTTCGGGTCAAATCTGACCGATTTTACTTTCATCAATCATAACTTTTTTGTTTTACATTTGATTGCATTAAGGCTTTATGATATCCTTCACAGTAGACATTTGAACATATCAAATTGCTGATCACCACTTTCATTGCATTTTGGATGATTTAGTCAACTTTGTAACACCCATGGTGTTCCCGGTCAAAAATGACCGCCATAAAGAAAAGGAATTAGTAACCATCCGGATCAGATCAGATCACACACACACACACACACACACACACACACACACACACACACACCACACACACACACACACACACACACACACACACACACACACACACACACACGCACACACACACACACACACACACACACACACACACACACACACACACACACACACACACACACACATACTCTAAATGTGTGTGTCCCCCCCCTTACAGTATGTGCCCAATCCCCCCACATGGATCACACCTGGCACACGCAATACATGTTCAGTGTCTATTCTTTGTATAGTTACTGCAGTTTTTCATGTATACCAGTAGTCTGATACAATATGTACAGTTTGAAAGGGTGTTAAATGAAATTTGGTGATGATTAATGGTTTTTGTGTTAATGTAATAGCAGTTAAAACAGGACCGGTCAAATTTGACCGTGAACACCAAAGTAAGGGGGGGGAAAACAAAGACAATAGGAGGGTTAACATATATATGATTCTGGTACTATGTAGTTTATTACTGTAGTTTATTTTTGGTGTATTTTGTTTTCCCCAAAGAACCCTTTTAATCCGTCTGAGATATCCACTTTATTTAAAATATATATATATTCATCACATTTATGTTTTTGTTCTATTTCTTACTGTCTTTTGTATATCCATAGTAAAAAATGAATAATAAATACTCCAATGTATTTATACAATGTTTAAACTCACCATGTTTTCTTCCATCTGTGTTAGGTTCCCTAAAAAAAAAGAGGAAAGTTGACTTTGGCTTCCACTGACTGAAAATCTAGGGTACTTTTATGTGTATCTTTTTATTTTAAGGGAAACTCCTCTCACCTTTGGTTCTTATCCATATGTTGACTTGAGCCACACTGAGAAGGAGAGCTGTTAGGCCCACAGACACGATGAGGAGCCTCCACCAACCTGGAAGCACAGAAGTTAAATATAGCTCAAGAGGTTTTGATGATGAGCCGTGAGTTAGCGTGTTTTTATTCAGTCCCCACAACTGATAAAAAGTGTATGTCCATGTCAATTAAAAAAAGACGTTCTTTCTATATGTAGCTTTGTTATTTTAAATCACTTTTTAGTTAGATTTGATTGTTTTTAGAAGCAGAGTTATTACCTTTTGATGTGATAATATTCCCTATTATCCATCCTTGTGTTGTTGTTGGTGATAATTGAGTCGCTGTTTTTAGATTACAAAAAAACATGTTAAAATGAAAAATATGAAACACATAAAAAAATGATAGAATGTTGTAATATTAGAACCTCAGATCGATGATGAGATAGACTACAAGAGTACAATTCATTTTATCATCTTTATCATAACAGTTATTGCTCAATAGAGGCCGTTTAAAAACACTATGATGTAAATACTAACAGGTAACCACAAACAGATCAACCAGAGAGTCTGGACGTTGTTGTTGAACTGCTTTTTTGAACTGTCTACATGCGTATTGACCAGCATCCTCCTCTGTGACCTTCTTTATAACCAGAGAACAATTCTCTGTAACTCTCAGTCCGTCTGATTTAGCTTTGGCTTCTTTACCAATCCGCCCAAGATGAACCAGCTCTACTGTTGCTGAGCTATCACTGAAGAGCCAGGTAGTACTGTCACATTTATCCTGATCATGTATCACATTGTCACAAGGCAAAGTGACTTCATCTCCAACTCTGACAGTGAAGAAAAAATATTCCCCATTTGCTGCTGTTGAAAAAACAGAAAGAGTTCATTAAAGTCACCATGTTACAAACACAACTCATCATTCTCAGTTAAAGGAACAGTACGTAGTAAAGCACCGTTAGTGATATTAAAGCTGTTTTATTTAAAGTGTGTTTTCTGCATCCTCACCTGGAAAGTGGAGCAGCAGCATCAGGAATGAAGACATTATGATCCTTCTGAATTCAGACATCGTGCTTCTCTCTCGGTCTCTGGCTCTCGACTGTCAGAGTCTCTCACCTGCTACTTCTTTATTTCTCTTCTGAGAACTGAAGAAGTGTTTCTGTGAGAATGTGGTTAACATCAGCAGCAGCAGAGCTCTGGAGGTGTTACCCTCTGATGCTGACCAGATAAGATAAGAGCAAAAAGCAGAACAATGCAGAGTGATGTACATAAAGTAATGAATATATATATACACAATTAAAAATAAACAGCAGGGGGTGGATATCAATATCCCTTAACCCTTGTGTGGTGTTCATATTTTTGTTACTCAGCCAGTGTTCGTGGGTCTGGTGGACCCGCAGCCTTTTTGGGTTTCAATTCAACATAATCAACTATTTTATGTTAAAATACTCAAGAGGTTTACTTCATCCCAATTACAAGCAATATAAACAGCACATGTATGGCAAGATCTCGAGTTTTTCGTGTGTGTGTGTGTGTGTGTGTGTGTGTGTGTGTGTGTGTGTGTGTGTGTGTGTGTGTGTGTGTGTGTGTGTGTGTGTGTGTGTGTGTGTGTGTGTGTGTGTGTGTGTGTGTGTGTGTGTGTGTGTGTGTGTGTGTGTGTGTGTGTGTGTGGTCTCTGGTCTCTAAAATTGTTAGCATATGTCTTGATCAGAATGGGAAATCATATCCCGGCTAAGTGCAGACATTAGCACAGAATACTGGATCCGTGCATGTCTGCATTATGCAAAGATAATGGTTAAAAATGCAAATGTTTTCATTCAGCACTAATCGCCGATCTTAGAAGAGCTTATCTTTGATGCATTATAGAATAGTAAAAGAGAAATATTTTAGCAGGGAATAAGAAAACTGTAATTCTATCACTTAACTCTCTTTGTTTCCCCACAATGAGCGAGACAGCTGATCGTATCAAGACAATATTTAATATGAACATCATTGCATTATTCAACAGATGTTGTGAGCTGCATTTTGATATAGCGTGTGAAGTAAACACTTTGCAATTCCCCAGGGACACTAAATAAAAACACCTGAAAAGTCCTGAATGAAGTCTTATTTCTGTCAGACTTTGGTGTTTTAAGGAGGCCCTTTTGTGCTTTTTGCAGTTTTCCATTTATTGTAGTGTTATATAGGTTTGTGTGCATGTTAATGGTCTGCAAAGGCTAACATCCCTGTGTTTCCCACACACAACCCCCCCGCCTACATTGGACTCCTTTGTTTACTAACCTAATGACATCCCTAACACTCGCGCTTCTATTGGCTAGCGCTCCAACACATTGTACTTGATATGCTAAGGGGCGGGACATCTCTAAGCCGTTGACCAATCACAACAGAGCCTGCCAGCTAACCAATCAGAGCAGACTGGGCTCTGGTTTCAGACAGAGGGTGAAAAGAGGTGCTGCAGCACAGGCAGTATGAGAGAAATAAAGAGCTTTTTGAACATTAAAGGTGGGGTAGGTAATTTTGGAGAAACCAGCTCGAGATCGCTAGAATTTGAAAATACACAGCCGGAAAAAATCTGCCACTTCCTTACAGAGCCCCTCCTCCAACACACACGAACGCGCACATGACCAATGAGAGCACGAGATAAGTTTGTGCACAGATGGAAAGCTGACAGGCAGGTAGGCCATCCAGTTATTTTAGCCGGGCCGGCTCAGATGATTGGTCGTGCTTTTTACAGCGCTACGGCTTCCACAGATGACATTTTTTTATGGATTTTTTGTCAAAGCACTTAAGATATTCATTGCTATCGGGATGTTAAGAGCATTCCATGGAATATAACAAAAAGTGTTTCTCGAGCCGGTTTCCCAAACTTACATACCCCACCTTTAAAGCATGGAGACATGAAACCTGGAAATTAGCATAATAGGGCCCCTTTAAGTATCGACATTTCATTCTACCTTGTATTTCCTTACCTGAAGGCATGCACTTTTCATTATTGTGGAGTTCTTCTGTAAAAGTTTGAAATACTTCTTCCATCACTCAAAAAACACAATAGAAGAAGAAATATTCTGAAGCTAAATGAGACTTTGAAGCAGCAATGGCAGTGTGAGAACTTCTTGGAAATTAAAGCATGAGCCAGTAGAGGCACAAAATACAAATATGAAACTGAAAATGAGCATAAATAGGGCCCCTTTAAAAGTGTAGTAACTGATCACCTGGCCTCTCCTCAGTGCTCCCGTTTGAGTACCGCCTCCCTTTCCTCCATATTATATGTAAATGTCACAGCCTCCAGCACAGCGCTGATAAACAGGATCTGGCCCGTCAATGAGCTGAATCCATCCAGCGACCATTACCTAAGGTTAACCGCTGAAACATTATACACCAGGGTCCCTTTCTCTTTCAATCAATTCCCTACATATAGACCTCCACAACCCCCTCCGGGCACCAGCACTCACACACACACTCACACACACACACGGAAAAGGAGTAACAGTCCAGATTTAGAGGTACAAAACCAAACACACTGCACTTCTGTCTGCTGCTGTTTCCCAGTGACTGCCACGGGTCAGAAAGTAGTTTATTACGCCCTCCTGCATGTGTGTGTGTGTGTGTGTGCCCCTCATTCAATACAGCTTGTCATAATGTAGCAGATAAAGTGCTGATATGGCTGTGGCTGACACTATTATACACCAGCACCAAGGAGACGGATATGGATGGAGAGAAAGAGAAAGCAGCAGTATGAATGGATGGCCCAGAGTGTGTGAGTGTTTGTGTGTGTGTTTGTGTATATAAGCAATTGGGTATGGTAACTTTAGATGAACCTATAATTTGTCAGAGACTGAGCGAGTGTGAGAGAAAGGGGCGATGTGGATGGAAAGTGCTGGATTTGCTGGCAGCAGTCTCTTACTCAGCAGCAAAAGTCACAAAACATGATGAAAAATACTGCTCTGTGTGTGCAGTGTGAGTGTGTGTGTGTGCAGTGTGAGTGTGTGTGTGTGCGGTGTGAGTGTGTGTGTGTGCAGTGTGTGTGTGCACATCAACAACCTGCTGTGAACAACATGCTGACAGAGAGACAAGTCTGACACCTAGAGGTTGGTCTTATGTTATCTATAGCACTGCACTGAATAGTAGTAGTATGTATGTAATATGAAAAGTATGCACAAAATAGTCTTCCATGATATTTGATCATATTTTTGCAGTAGTGAACCTTACCTCATTAAATCAAGTACTGTACTGAAGAAACAACACGAGGTACTTGTACTTTTACATATAGTGTAATATAGGTGAGTTTTTCCATTATTTGTACATTTGCCTTACAGCTTTGACACATTCATACTTAGTTTCATACACTTCCTATCCAGTCTTCTTCTTCGAGTCCGTAGCAATCTCAAATGTCGTTCTGCCAGTATCGGGCACAGGCCACATCTGATGGGGTAGGTTCTGCCAGGTCTTCTGGACTGCACCGGGGGGCATCGGCACATTCCAGTAAGTGGGACATTGTCTGCACTGATCCACAGCTGCACGTGTCTTCTGTGGTGTAGTTCCACACTTTCATCAGTGCTTTACACCTCCCCTGTTCCACACGCAGTCTATTGAGTGACTTCCAGGTTGTCCAGCCAAGGTCGTGGCCACTAGCAAGGCTTTCCGTTGGTGTGATTCCTCTGTCCAGCCATTCAAGAGCTCGTGTGTCATGTCTTTGCCATTCATCTTCCCAGATGTTGGTCCTTGCTGCTTGTTTAGTTGTCTGGAGGGGCAAGACTGTCTGCACAAAACTGGCTATGGATCGGAGCCTGCGTGGGGGTGCTACATGGCCATGCAAGGGGTGTCTGATGTCTGTCTCCTGTGTTCTCCGTTCATCTTGAGCGATACCCAGTCGTCTGATGTGTGGGGGAGAGATGCCGGCTAGTGCATAGAGGCACGGGACAGGTGTTGTCTTAACGCATCCCGTGATGATGCGGCAGGTGTCATTCAAGGCTGTGTCGACCAGTTTGGTGTGACGTGATCGGCTCCAGCTTGAACAGGCATACTCTGCTGTAGAGAAACACAGGGCCATGGCAGTTGCACGGATTGTTGGTGGATCTGCGCCCCACTTGGAGTTCACTAGTTTGCGCAGGATGTTGTTGCGGGTGTTGATCTTGGCTTTGGTGTTCTCCAGGTGTTTCTTGAAGGAGAGTGTCCTATCCAGTGAAAACCATGTATCTTAATATGTGTTGATTTATATGTTTGTAATTTGTTCCCTTATGTGTTGAGATATCATAATAATAATTGAGTTCTCACAGGACAGCGAAGAAAACTGCAAACATATGATCATTTTATAAAAGATAACAAATCAATAGATAAACTCACTAACAGTGCATACAGGAGTTTGAATGAGGACCAATTCAACATTTACAGCAGTAACATGCAACACACATTAATACATTTATTCAGAAACATCACATATAATAATTGAACACTACAGGGAACATTTCACCGCACAATCACTACTTTTACTTTTCATACTTTAAAGTGGACCTATCATGCTATATTTTAATAATATAGTGTAGGACCATACCTATATAAGGCATATTTATACTTTTTTTTTTTCAAAATACCAAACAGATCATGCATTTTAGCCATGCCTCATTTTGCTCAATTTGACATTTTTTATCCATGTTTTAGCAAGGGCTGATTCTGTGAGAACAGCACCACCTACTGGCCTGGCATATGTACTACAGCGTCTCCAGCGCTTTCGAACGGCAATGGCCGTGGCTGTCTCCTCCTGATTGGTGGAGTTGGCCCAATAGCCGTAGCGCCACCGTCCTGACGTCAGGACAGTGTTCAAATCTGGATCAGTTTTTATCAGATCCGTTGCAGCCCCTTTTTTAGAGATTTGGGTATGGAGGAAAATAGAGAGGGTTGTGTTTTCTGACACTTGGTGAGTTCCCTGGAACACCGGGGACACATATTCATGTATAAAAGACGTACCAAAGTGCATTTTGCATGATAGGTCCCCTTTAAGTGAATTTTACAAATGATGCTTACATATTAATACTTCATGGTTTGAATGCAGGTATTTTACTTGTAGTGGAATATATCCAGTGTGGCGTTAGTACTTTTTACTTAAGTTAAGGTCTTTTAATTTGTGTTCACACATCAGGATTATTGAATATGATCATATTTGAATCAGTTAAGATCAAACTGTGTTTTGTGCCACAAGAGGTTTGACTGTCATACAAACTCTGGATGTATCAGAATGATGGAGTGAATTTTAATAAATCTGACTCCAGTTTAGCTACAAAAAGATGCAATCTGGGCAGAAATGTATATTTCAAAACACACTTTATTATCATGCTTTTGGACACACACACACACACACACACACACACACACACACACACACACACACACACACACACACACACACACACACACACCACACACACACACACACACACACACACACACACACACACACACACACACACACACACACACACACACACACACACACACACACACACACACACACACACACACACACACACACACACACACACAATACAGTATAAAAGCTGTTATAAAAAATAAAAAAACAGAAACACACTTGCACTTTGGATGTGACACACAGAGTTGTTTTAGGTTGAGTTAACTTCAGTGTGTGGAAGTTTTACAATTAGGTTTAGTGTGTGGACAATCGAGGTGGAATTGAAATGTGTTAAATGTATCAAAGTTCTTGCACGGCTTCTTTGTTAGGATGAGTTTTTGTAGAGGATCATGTTCCTCAAAAGGTATCAAAGTGTCGAGGCAACTTAGGTTTCATATTGGCACCAAAACCAAAACATTTCAAACCACACCCGCCATGCTACAGGGGCAGGAGTCAATGAACCGAATGTAATCTGTTTTTGCGTTCAAAATGCACGTCAAGTGTCGGAGAACCTGTGGATTTATTATTCTACAACAACATGAAAATCAACCACGCAGCTCTACTTGTGTTTAAAACAACAAAACAAATCTGCTGCGAGCTCTGGAATGGGATTTCAAGAAAACATAACATCGCTAATTTGCTACCAAATAAATAGCTTCAAATTACAAATGTGTTTAACTAATCTAATTGGGAATCTTATTTGATAAAGATTACACCCATCATATCAGCGAAGAAGCTCAACCTGAGACTTAAAAAAACCCGTTGTTTGTCAATTTTATTTATCCTTTCAAGTGAAGTCCTGCTATTATTCTGCTGCTTTATTAGCATGTTATTAGCATTGTCCCTCTGACTTCCCGTAACAGCTACTGCTCATATTTTCCTTTACTGCATGTTGCCTTTTTCTTTCTTCCCTTGTAACAAAATCATACCAAGTTTTTCTGGCTTTGAATTTGAATAAACTTTACAATAAACAGTTTCATTGTACTACTAACAATAAAGCAACTTGGCTTACTATTCTAGACATATGGGAAATATGTCAATCATATCAAACAGTTAACAGAAACGTATTCCTTTGGTGTAGCTGGTAGTGCTTCAGGTAAACTAACTTCAAGGTCGTTGGTAAATATTAGACCCTGGCATTAATCGTGTAGCATTTCCTCCAATATGTAAACAAAGATGAATGAGTGTTGGTAAAAGACCAGAAGGTGGGTTTTAAATCCAAAAACGACCCCCGCTAGCTATTCTTGAAGTAGGCGTTGGGTCTGTAGCAAGTTCAGCTCAGAAAAACATTTTTCTTTATCAAAAAAGGTAAAATATGTAACCAGCCAAATCTTCTTTTGAGCAACTTTTGTTCCACAAAAACAGAAAACAAGAGATAAGTCAAAAGAGTGTTAGATAAAGGCCCACACCACCTTGCATAAATACATGAATTAAAGTGCTCAAAAAAGACGGAGACAAGGCTTACAAACAGGTAGGAAAAACCACAAAGGAAATCCACGCTGAGTGTTAAAGGAAACACAAAAAAACACATTAAGGGAGAATGGCCAGCAGCCTAAGTGGATTTGGCACATTAAGGAGCTTTCATAAGGCTGCTCATATAGCAAAGGTCAGTGTTTCAGAGCGAGGCAGAGAGCTCAGCGATACACCTTCTTTTGAAAGCCGTACCCATCATCTGGCTTTATAAATGTGTATAAAACATTTTTTAATAGAAAGTTCTTGGAGGAAGAAAGAAGGCGTATTGAAAAGAGAGGTGAAGAGAAGGTGGGGAAGTAAAAAAACATTGCAAAATAAATTGAGCTGTCAACGGATTTTCAACTCTTTTGTTTGTGCCATCTCTCGATGCAGGTAAACAAAATGGTGACTCTTCTCGGTCTCCTTTCTGCTAACGAGGTCGGTGAATTAGAGGCGAGCGGCGACAGCTTTCTGAGTGGGAAGTTTTCCTCCTAGACAAAGAGACACGATTGTTTTAAAGTTCCTCGAGAGAAACACAACACTCTTTCTCTCACTGGCAGTTTGTTTCTCACCTAAAGTGTCCTCCAATGAGTTCACCATCACCGTGTCCACCTTTAACGTCTCCTGATCCGCGCTGAAGTGAAAAACATTGAGCGGTTATTATTCAGTACAAAATCAAGTTCATGGGGACTATTTCTTTGGTAGAAAGTAGTTCCAGTGACAATGTGTATCAGAGTTTTTGGTGGGTTATCAAATCAATCAATTACACTTTATTTATATAGCATTTTTCATACACAAATGATAACAAATCTAAAAACAATACTACCCCCCAGGTAATGAATACCAAGTAACACACTCCATCGTTTACAAAACTCTTCAAATCAATAGAAGTCAACAAAACACAGGAGTTAACCCTCTCCTGTAGTGTGTTATACAGAATGTTTCACCTGCCAGTTCAACCAACCAGGGACAGAAAGATGATCAAAACAAACATACCCTTTGATTTTCTGCACCGCTCCAAGTCGGAGCAAAGCTGCCAGAGAGTTCTTCTGGAGGTCAGACGACAACACCTCTGTGTATCTTAAACTACCTAAAAAACACACACACATACATACAACACACAATCAGTACATTCTGTAGTAGAGGCCTGAGATAAAAGCACATTTAAAATGATGTGAGAAACTTTTAAAAAGGTAGAAACCTGCTAAAAGATGTTTGATGATGAACTTCCGGACGGCAGGAATAAACTGTTTTTCTGTCAGAGTCTCAGTGGCTTCTTCACACAGGAACCGGCACACCACCTGACCACACACACACACACACACACACACACACACACACACACACACACACACACACACACACACACACACACACACACACACACACACACACACACACACACACACACACACACACACACACACACACACACACACACACACACACACACACACACACACACAACACACACACACACACACACACACACACACACACACACACACACACACACACACACACACACACACACACACAACACACACACACACACACCACACACACACACACACACACACACACACACACAACACACACACACACACACACACACACACACACACACACACACACACACACACACACACACACACACACCACACACACACACCACACACACACACACACCTCTTAAAACTCATGTGTCAACAGCACCCTCTAGTGGACATCTGCAGTGTAACACATCAACTTTCTTCAAATAGTTCTGGCTGTGCATTTAAAATAAAAAGCCTCTCACCTGGTATCCTTGAAGGAAGGGATCCAGCATGTTGGTGAGGAAGGACAGAGTTCTGTGTCCGCTTTCTGTGACCAGAACCTCATGTTGGGTCACCTGCAGAACTCCAGTCTTCACCAGCAGGAAACAGGCCTCCTCAAAGTCCTACAGGACAGGAGTCACGTATTAAAACATACAATCTAAAATACCTCTTAATATGGTAGTGTTCTTGTTCTTTTCCCCTCCCTTAATATGTTTTTATAAAATGACATTAAACGTATTAGTATAATGATAGTTTGGGCTGTTTTTTTAAATGTATCTATTTAAATATATATACACTTCTACTTACACGCAAACAAAGAAAATGCTTTTAACAATTCAAGGGTATAAAATAAGGCATGTTTATTTTCCTTTCCTAAAAAAATAGGTCAAAACATTTAAAGTAAACCAATACAACAATGTATTCTCTAAATTTGACCAATGTTATTAACAATTATATTTGAGGCACAATGCTAAATAAACGTTGTTCCTCACCTGCACTGTAGCTCCAGGACAGAGGATGAACTCATTGGAGAAAATGTTTCTGAGGAAGCTGAAACTGTTGAAGACTTCATCTGCAAAAAACACAAAATGATTAACATTCAGTCTGGAGAGAAACAGCTTTACTGGACATAGTCCCGTCTGCTTCTCACAATGTAGGCAAACTGACCACCATCTACTCTAAGTAAGATACCAACAATGAAGAAAATGAAACTGTCTTGTTATCTGAACATGGACTTGTAGGAATTTGTTATTCGTTTTACTTTATTATTTTATTTTCACCCTGGAAATGGGTGTATGTATGTATGTATATGTGTCTTTCTGTTGCCGTCTGGCAGACGTTACCACAGCATCCTGGCAAAGACAAGAAGATTCTGAGACAGTTGCTTCCCGCGGGCAGTGAGACTGTTAAACAATTGAACTGCTGAAACAACTTCAAAAACATTCATCTGCTACTCAGTAATATGTATCTAATATCTAATATATATCATTCCAATAACTTGTATATAGACTCGTACTGCACTATTCCACATCATCACTTTATTTTATAACTATTTTTCTTTTTGTATTGCTCTTGCTATCTGTATTGTTATTATGTTGCATTGTTGGAGAAGCCTGTGACATAAGATTTTCAACAACATAATTACTCTGTAACTATGTCAGTTTGACAATAAAGAACCTTGAACATATGTATGTATATATATAATTTTGTTTATCTGTGTGAGTATTTAATTACGGAATTATCTTTTTTTACTCAATCCTGTAACTGGATGACTAACGGGGTTACCTCTGTATAAGCTATGCTTCTGCCCTCCCGCTTCTACACATTTTCTTTGTTATTTGGATGTATAAACTGTCTAATTGTTGAAATAGAAGAAATAATTAAAACAATTATAATAATAATCCGATCGTGTTTGAAAAGGCAGAAAGCAGCTCATTTAGAGAACTGTGTGTGAGCCTCACGTTTCTGGGAGGAGGCGGCGGTGTGGAGGGCTGAGGCCAACAGGGCGGGGCGTAGGAATACGTGCAGCGCCTGGTTCCTGTAGGAGGCGCAGGAGAGGAGCACCACTGCCCGGTTCAGGAGCTCCTCTTCTGGGGTAACAGGGCTGAGAGCCTCCCCTGGACTCGATGGTCCTGCTGCTGCAAGAGAAAGAAAACTGCTTTTTTTATTTTTCCTTTCAACACTTCTTCCTATTAAGCTGTGGCGGCTCAATTTCAAGTTCAGTTTGAGTCGCCGAGAGGCTAAGCTTGGCTGTAAACTGTGACGCGTTTCCAAAGAGAAAGTCCATACTGAGGCGAGATAGTTTTACGATATTTAATAAACAAAACGGTCAACAGAAAAAATGACAGCAGAAGCTCACCCTCTGTCATCCGCACTCGACATGAAACAGGTGACCTATATACACAAACCACACTCATGTGACAATTACCGGAAGTGCTCAACAAACAAATAAAAGTGACGTAAAGAAATAATAATAATACAAATATTGAACTCGGGCTAAGTAGCATTATGGCACCTACATAAGCATTGACACAACAACACAGACGATAACACCCCTTGTTGTTAAATACCAACTATGTGCAATATATATATATGCCGTTAAAAACTGTGCCATATATACCTGGCTGCTAAATCCTCAGAACTGTTACAGGATGTGTATTTTGTCAATTGTGTAATTTTTATTATAATCTTTAATATTTGTTTAAGCATGCTTTAGGTAACATTAAGCTATCTTTGGCTCTTTTCTGCTGTAACAATGTACATGTCCCCTCTGTGGGACTAATAAAGCTATTCTGATTCTGATTGATATGTTTACTTTTACAACAATACAATAGTCAGGGTTCTTACACCTTTTCCAAAGTCAAATTCAAGCACTTTTCAAGCATTTTCAAGGTGCATTTTCAAGCTTTTCAAGCATCTTACAGCTGTTGTAAATTACATATTTATATACACATACTTATACTCAAATGATTATTTCCCTACCTCACATTAAATCAGATGTTCTTTATGCTATAAACAACCAAATGTGTGTTTCATAATAGCATTCTACATGAGGGTGAAAAATTAAAAATGTTAGAAAAGAAAACTAAGTTTAATATTTCAAAATGTGTGACCCATCTGTACGTAGACTGGGCATCCCATATAACCTGGCTGAGCCAATATAAAACAATCAGCCAAATAACTTTTCAATATATTATTGATTACTATTTTTGAGGTACTTTTAGGTTGGCAGTAAACACAAGTCAGAGGTAAATGCTGTACTTTTACTCCACTACATGTATTTAATACCTTTAGTTACTTTACAGGTGTGGATGAATGATGTGAAATATAATCAAGTGTTAAATCAGACTTTAGTTCCACCTGGAGTAAATTCACAAGCTACTCTGTAGTATACAAAGTCATTCAAACTAGCTGTAACTTTACCAGCTTTGATAACACTTTCATGATCAATCATTATAAAACATATACAATTATTAGGGATGCTCCGATCGCCAATTTTGGAGCCGATCGCCGGAATCAGTATCGGCCGATACCGCTCTCTTTTCCTCTCTTCCCCCTCTCTCTCTCTCCTGACAGCCCGTCAGTATCTCATGCAGCTCACTGATCCAGTAATGAGCGACCCGACAGTGAAGAATAAATATATTTATAACTAGTTTAGCTTGTTCCAGAGGTAGATCAAATAGCTAAGTGTGTTAGGTCTAACTCTTAGGCCCCGCTCACACGGGACCGTTTGCGTTTATGCACAGTATGCGTATTCAAAAAAGTCTTCCGTTCACATGCATTTGTTTCATTTAACGTGTCTGTTCAAACGAGGCCGCTGGAAACGCTGTAGTACATATGCTGGGACTGTAAGTGGCGCTGTAACTTCCGCCAAAATACACCAAAAGCCGCGAAGAAGAGCAACCCAAGCAGCCCCGCTGCAATGTTGCCATGGCTACCCTTCTGTTTAAGCCCCGAAACTGAAACTGAAAGAAACTGAAGCACGTCTCCGTGGAGAGGACGGCTCAGAAAGAGAGAGATATTCTCTACAAACACCGGGTGAGATCCTCCTTTGTCAATATAATGGATCAATGCATGAAATCTGACTCTGTTTATTTTGTTTAAGGAGTATATTGGGCGTTAACAATTCTGGTTTGCCTTTTATAATATTATTTCATTCAAGAACCCCTTGTGCGTTTAATTAACACAGCTATTTTTGATAGTTGCTTCAGCAGTGAGCAGGAGAGGTGGGGAGAGGCGGGGCTATCGTTATTTTTTCAGGAAATATTCGTATCGAGGTGATTACACGGACTCGGTTGACCCCCCAGAGCATTTCGTTTGCAAATCTATCCACCTTGGGACCCGTTATTGTTTGTGGGGTCAGTTTCTATCGGCCTCGTGTAAATAATAGGGCTATACGCACGAGAAACTATGCAGATACAAGCAGTTTTCTCCTCGTGTAAACGGCGCCTTAATGTGTGTTCTGCTCCGCTCACCGGTCCGTCACAGCGGGTGGAGCTGCAGGATTTCTGCTTCACACACACGTTGCATACCGCTATTTTATTGTCATTTTCGGACACTTAAAATACTGCCAGACTAGTGAAGCCATTTTGGCGAGCTTGTTTTGCCGCGCACAGAGAAAAGTGTCATGTATTTTACATGCAACGATAGCCTAATCTAAAATGCTCTACTACGGCGTACCTTTCGTGTGGTGTGTGGCTCGTCAGCGCAGACTCTCGCATCGTTATTGTTGCACACTTTGCAGGAGGCTACTCTTGGGCTTCGCTTGACCCTCGTCTTAGCCATGGCTTGTATTTGTCTTCTGCTAGCCAACGCTCGTTGAAACGGCAACCTCCTGGCATACTGTCATCTATCACTCTCATCAGAATGCCCAGGTCACACACTTAACAAAAACACTTGCCGGTCACGCGCATTGCGTGGGAAGGCCGGAGCGGAGCTGTTTTATGTAAAAGCGAAGCAATTAAGCGCGCTCCGACTTCTTTATTTTCTTTTAATCTAAAAAGCAAAGTAAAGCATTTACAATTTCAAGCACTTTATCCCAAATTCAAGCACCATTCCCAAAATTCAAGCACTTTTCAAACCTTGAAAACACCTCGTACAATTTCAAGCATTTTCAAGGATTTCCAGCACCCGTACGCACCCTGAATAGTGTTATCAATGTTTAAACTCGTCCAAAACACACCTTGTTCCACAGCCAGGTGCACTCTGCCCTCACAGAGCCTCACCAGACCTCCATGCAGAGAGAGACTGGAGGAAACCACCTCTGATGGAGCGATGTGGTCTGAAGGAGAGAAAGAGAAATCAGAAGATCATATTTCCATGTTTAAGGCATGGGGTTCACAGGACAGGAATGAGTGCACACACAAATGCTTAAAGGGGACCTATTATGCAAAATCCTCTTCTTCATGTCTTTTCTACATCAACATGTGTCCCCTCTGTGGAAAGAGATTCTGAAAGTTTCAGGAACAAAGATTCTCTCTCTTTTTGTCCTGATCCATTTATATAAAAACCTGTCTGAAAATGAGCTGATCAGATTTTGACCACTTGATGTCATAACGATGTTTTGGCTTGTGTAACCATTAGCCAATCACCAACCAAGGTAACCCCCCCCCCCCACCTTATCACCTGAATCTCCTCCTAGAGCACCATTGTGTTCTTTTTAACCAAATCTCTCTCAGAGGGGCGTGGGGAGGGGCTCCTTATTTTCATCTAAAGTAACAGACAGAGAATCAGCACTTTGGAAACAGGGCTGAAACAGAGGGGATTCTGGGTAATGCTGCAATGATCTGTTTGGTGTTTGGAGCCAAACACTTCAGAGACATGTTCTGTATATATCTGAGACCTATAATATATTGCTGAAAAACAGTATAATAGGGGACCTTTAAATCTGTGCAGTTTACACACCAATCGTTCATCGTCAAGACATTATTGTTTTTCAATTTATAGGAACTATTTAACAAGTTTCATGTTCATTTTACGGTTATGATTTGCTCTTATATTAAAGTTTAGTCCTCATTGGTCTTGCCTTAATCTCAATCATACTTTTGTAATAGTCCGTTTTGAGGCATTCATGGCAAAAGTGTTTAAAGAAAAACTAAAATCATCTGATATATCATGATTAGACTTTTTATCTGGAACGGCAGTATTGACATTAGTGCTACAAATTCAGTTTTGGTCATGTTTTAGCATTAAACATGTTATTTACACCTTAAAACGACTGTGCTTAAAAGCTTAAGGAGCCCATTTGAAACAGGCAGAGCCCTCTCACGACTCAGCATGCAGAGAACCAGTATGATGTTTACTTGCACTATTTTAACTATGGTATCTGTTGTATTGTGTTGCACTGTTGGAGGAGCCTGTGACATTTTCATTGACATATCTACACTGTAGCTATGTACACATGACAATAAAAGCCTTGAAACAGCTACCAAATAAATAGCTTCAATTGACTTTGACAAACGTTTTTAACTAATCTAATTGCGAATTTTATTTAATAAAGATTAAACCTATCATATCAGCGAAGTAGCTCAACCTGAGACTTAAAAAAACCTGTTGTTTGCCAATTTGATTTATCCTTTTAAGTGAAGTCCTGCTATTATTCTGCTGCTTTATTAGCATGTTATTAGCATTTCATTAGCATTGTCTCTCTGAGTTTCTGTAACAGCTTCTGCTCATATTTTCCTTCATGTTGCCTTTTCTTTCTTCCCTTGTAACAAAATTACACCAAGTTTTTCTGGCTTTTAATTGTTTGAATAAACTGTTTTATTTTACTACTCATATGCATAACAATAAAGCAACTTGGCTTACTATTCTAGGCAGGAAGAAATTGGAAAATATGTGAATTATACCTGTTGGAGCTATATATCACTTTATATTATGTAATAGTTTAACATGTATTTTCCTGCTGTGTATAGTAACTGTATTCCTAGTCATTGTCGTTATTGTAGTGAGTTAAAGTAGTTTGAAGGCATGTTTGGGCACTGGGTGATTAGAGCACCTGGTGTAATTGTATATATTGGAGACAGGTGGAGGAGGGAGTAGAGCACTAGTAGGCACATGGTTTTTTACCAGAGTGATACAAGCCACAAGAGAGGAAAGCCATATAAAGGCTTAAGGAACAAAACATAGGAAACTTGTTCTTTGTTAGTGATATTGGATCATAATAAAAAGCACAAACGGAGATCATTGGTTCCTCAGCGACAGTGTTATTTTAAGCTAATTATCTGTTTCAATTCTTTATGATTTTGGCCGCTACAATATCAAACAGTTAACAGAAACGTGCACTATTTTAACTATTTGGTCTGGTTCTGTACCGGGCCAGTGGAGGAAGGCTCCGTACTGCCGGGAAATGTCTCGCAGCCAGAGGGCCTGTTCAGTCAGCTGGTCCACTGCCATCCCCTGGTCCTGGTCCTGGTTCTGGTGGTGGTTCTGCAGCAGTAAAGAGGCCAGCAGCACCCAGGGCTTCAGCACCATGTTCTCCTCCTGGAGCCGCACCAGCTTGTAGGCCGAGTCGCTCACGAAGCTCTGGACGTCCTCGCCCGGCCTCGTGGGGATGTGTCTGCAGACGATGGACATCGAAAAGTTACCGCCTCTTCAAAAGCCACACACATGGGACTGTGTTTACAGTACAAGTGCATTAAAGGTCCCCTATTATACTGTTTTGCATCAATATATTATAGCTCTCAGATATATACAGAACATGTCTCTGAAGTGTTTTGCTCCAAATACCAAACAGATCATTGCAGTATCCCATAATCCCCTCTGTTTCAGATAAACAAAGATAAGACAAAATGTCCGACTAAGGGACCAAAATCTCTCATTATTTCATTGACAGAAAAGATGAGACAAAATATGACCAGCTTTTCTGTCTCTAAAGCTGCACATTCCTTCTTATTTAGTTTCCAGCTAACAATAGCCGCGTTCACACCGGAGTACTTTTCACCGTACTTTTCGCGTTTAGTTCCGTTAGTACCCCTTATGTCGCGTTCACACCAAAAAGAGCACTTAATCTCGGGAACTTTTACCCCCATTCTTAGTGCCTGCTGAGAGATGGTACTTTCCTGGGGGAAAAAAGTGCCCCAGTTCTGATTGGCTGGGCGAATTGCAAACCACGCCCCGTAAAACTCTGAAATGTTTTGTAGAGCCGCCATTTTATTATCCTCGCATTAGCATTATTAGCATTAGCATTCGCCCAGTGCACAAACGCAGAGAGACTAACTTATGGCAACACAAAAGAAAACATGGGAGTGGTGGAGATGAGGAGGTGTCGGCGTTCTGGCGATTTACTCGGAAGGCTTCAGTAGAAGCTGCTGGGAGTCCCAGCAGCTTCTACTGAAGCCAGTCCCAAACTCCGGGGACTTCCGGCCGGGGACTCCGGGTGGCAGTATACGCCGTGAAGTTGTTTGCTGCCTGCCAGTAAACCCAAAGCAGAAGAAGACGAAGTGACGTCAGCGGCTCATTTGCGTAATCTTCCCTCAGAGAAAAGTACTCTGTGTGAACGCGATCTGTACTAAATGCCCTGGGGTCATAAGTGCCGGGGCTCTGAGTGCCGGCACTAAATACGGCAAAGTACTTGGTGTGAACGCGCCTATTGACAACAACGGGGCTTGGGAGAAAGATAAGAGGTGATATTGTGGCTGGACTAGATTGAAACATTACAAGGACATTTTGCAGACAAAATAAAGAAATAGCTAACAAAATCAACACTCAAAGATCTTACTAATATATTTCTGATAGTAAACACATTGTTTAGATGTCCGTTTTCAAGAAAGGAAGACACATGCGGGGACAATGCAATCATTTCTAACACATCTACGGTAACACATAACTCACATCTAAATCTGAATGCAGCTCCAAAATACTTTCATTTAGCTGAAGCCTTCAGGCGTCATATGCCAAAAAAAGATAACAGTGTACTGACTTAACTATCAGTGCTGCTACACTGAAGGGCAAATCCACACAGAATGGATTTTCAGCCGCTATCTGCCCTCTCTGAAGGTCACGTTGGTCATATTTCGCTAAAGACATTTCAGCACAAACTTGCTCGCTTGAACTCTTTTTGGCAATGAGGTTCGACTGGATGGAAAGGGGGGAAATGTTGAGCCAAAAGCATGCATATCACCTCATTTAAATGCATGCTATTATCAGAGTAGCATCATTTCACCCTATTACAGGTGCTTAGTGTAGCGGTCGCAAAAGCTGCACAATCCTTTTGTAGATTTGCCCCAGAGTGTTCAAGTAATAGCTTTGTACTGAGTTGACAAGACAGACATGAGGTATGAAATGAGACATCTTAGTGTTCTGTTAGAATAAGTAATGTTGATATATCGTACCGTGGCAGCAGGTTGAACTGGCGGCGGTTAACTCTGCCCTCGGCTAAACTTCTGACGGACACAGGTTGACCGAAGTACACATGGATACTGCCGTAGTCTTCACTGAGGACCTTTCTGGCTTTGAACAGACCCTACACAAGGAGACATGAACAGCAGAAGCATGTGTACAGGCTGCGAAATGTGACTTCATACTGGTTTAGCAGAACCATGTGTATTTATTTTTTGTATTTTTCGTTCATAAAAAGGTCAGATGTGTAGGTGACTCACTGAAGTGGACTCTTTGGGTTTGGGAATACCCAGCAGCTCTCTGGCGTAAAGCGTCTCCTCGAGGATCCTCTCGTAGCTGATGCTGACCGGCACCACGTGGACATCATAAACCTCCCCCTTCAGGAACGGATCCATGGCGATGTTCAACAGACCTGGGGGACAGAGGGTGAGGGGGACAGCGCGAGAAAAGAAAAGTCAGCAATATTTACAGAATCATGTCAAAATGTGTTTAAAATGTTCTTTGATATTTTTTCTTAGGATGCTTGTTAATAATGAATTTGAGATTCACTAAGGTGATGTTGTATGAGCTACAAATACCTTTAATTAGATCACTTAAAGGTGGGGTAGGTAAGTTTGAGAAACCGGCTCGAGATCGCTAGAATTTGAAAATACACAACCGGAGAAAATCTGCCACTTCCTTACAGAGCCCCTCCTCCAACACACACGAACGCGCACATGACCAATGAGGGCACGAGATAAGTTTGTGCACAGATGGAAGGCTGACAGGCAGGTAGGCCATCCAGTTATCTTAGCCGGGCCGGCTCAGATGATTGGTCGTGCTTTTTACAGTATTACGGCTTCCACAGATGATTTTTTTTTAATGTATTTTTTGTCAAAGCACTTAAGATATTCATTGCTATCGGGATGTTAAGAGCATTCCATGGAATATAACAAAAAGTGTATCTCGATTATGATTCTCAATGGGAAATACTCCTGTTTTCAAAAAAGCTTGGAGTCTAGTGTCTCACCTAACTTTGGAGTCAAAGACTTGGCCGTCCTGCTCCTGGTCCCCTCTAGGAAAAATTCAACTGGTGCATATCCAATCTGAAAAACAAATGTAAGAAAACTGAAATGATCTCCTCCAATGTAGCGCACATACATTAAATATAAACTATATTAATATTACAACAGTTGTACCACCACTCTCACATTTAGCGCTGTGAGCCAATAGGGACTTAAATGTCTCAAGAGTATCACTACTCCTCAATCTTAGGACCAATAAAGACGTTATGATTTAGGATAACACAGCCTCCTGACCTTGAGCATGGTCCTGACGTACTCTGAGAACACGGTCCAGTACAGCTGGTCTCCTCCAAACGACCTCCGGATGAAGAACGCTCCAGACATCCGCAGCATCTCCCCAATGACCTTCATCCCCATGAAGTCTGCAGGAACAAGTCACTGGAGGTTTATATTCAGACGTCATGCTGCTGTATTGGACTGCATTATAGAGAGGAGTCTGCCCTGTGTAACATGTATATGCACAACAGACTTACATGTAAGAAGACACATGCACTGGCTTCAACTTATATTTATAATGCATTTACTTGAACTATCCCCCTTATTTAAAACAGTATTTTGAACCTTACTCGTCAAATTATCAAGTTAGACACTCTGTCCAGATTTATTTCTCTGTCCCCTCTGCGGAAAAATGTATTGGCAGAAGAGCGTTGATGTTTAAAGCCCCAACTGGAATACTTTACCTGCTGCTATAGATCCCTGTCATCATTGGGTATGTTTAAGCATGCATTATCATCTCACTTTCAGCTGCTCTGCTCTTGTTATTGATGAAACTGATCGATTAGACACTACTGTGTATCAAATTATAATGATTGTATGAATTACATGTCACTTGCTAGACGCTTTTATCCAAAGCGACTTACATACTCAATACTGTGGGCAATCCCCACAGGAGCAATTTGGGGTGAAGTGTCTTGCCCAGGGACACAACGACATGCTGACTGCAGTGGGGTTTGAACCTGATCCGAACACCAACACTCAACCCACTGCACCATACGCCTCCCAATTATTTTTGGCTTAACAGACTGTACGTGGTTTGTCCTTGTCCTCTCAAGGGGTTTATCCTAATAAATAAATTTCTATATATATATATATTAAAGTCTGTTAACTCAGTGTATACAGTCTGGCTCTCTTCCATGCTCACCCATGCCGGCAGCGATGACGGGCAGCGACAGGTCGTAGGTGAACAGGAGGTAGGACATCAGCAGGAAGTCCATGTAACTACGGTGACTCGGTAACAGGACCACCGGGTGCTCCTGAATGGCCTGTTGGAGCTAACAACGAGGAAAATAACAGATTAGGTGTGTATTTGTATGCGTTTCAGCTTAAAGGTCACCTATTATGCAAAATCCACTTGTCTCTTCTACATCAACATGTGTCCCCTCTGTGGAAAGAGATTCTGAAAGTTTCGGGAAAAAAGATTTGCTCACTTTTTGTCCTGATCCATTTATATAAAAACCTGTCTGAAAATGATCAGATTCTGGCCACTTTATGATGTCATAACGATGTGTTGGCTTGTGTAACCATTAGCCAATCAGCAACCAAGGTAACCCCCGCCCCCCCACCTTATCACCTGAATCTCCTCCCCATTCACACCAACGGTGTTTCAGGGCCGGTTCGGAGCTGGAGCTTGAAAAGCACCGGGTTTTCCTGTTCACACCGCAGCGGAGCAGCCTCTAAGCTCCGGAATCCGGTTCGTTTCGAGCACCAAAAAGTTGTCCGTCTAGAAGCAAGAACCGCATACGTCACGCTTACGTCGGAGGGGGGCGAGATTAAGGCAAATAAAAGTTGTAACAAGCAGTAGCGCTGAGCAAAGTGACTAGAACGCAACCACACACTTGTAAAAAAAAAACACGCTTTATAAAGTCAGGCAACACTAACCAGGCTTCGTGTGATTCTGTTTATTTGTACCTTACTTTGACCATCCGTTCGCTGTTATTGATCATTGTGGAGAGCAGGCAGACGTTTTGTTTGTTATTATAGCAGCTATCGGATGGAATCAATACATGGGCTGCACAGGTTGTCATGTCCGACTATCACAAGTAGAATCATAATGAAAAATACGCCGGTAAAAAGTGCCTGTAGAAAACGGCTTAGCAAGTAGTCAGTTTAGCTTCGGTTGCTATGCTAACATCACCCATTTTATACCAGAGAAACTTTCATAACAGCGTTGTGATGCCAAACAGCGTCAATTCAGACTGACACACATTCACTTAAGGGGAACTGGGGATATGTATCAGCTGCTTGTGTGACAGTCAGACAGTGAATACTTTAGAGCCGTGTGAGCTAACCCGGAGCTAACGGGAGAATACACTCCCGTTGAAGAGCAGCCAGCACTGTAGCGGTCGGTAAATGCCGCTGAAACACATTAATAAACAATGAACCACGGCACTCTGGAGAAAAGTATAAGGTTGGAGAAGTCGTTATTTAATTTAATCTGGCTTCGTATGATTAAAAGCAACACGATCATCGACCCGACGCAGTTGTTGTGAGGTGAGCTCCGTTGGGGAGAAAATCAGCGACGTAAACTGTGACGTCATGACGCAGCAGCGGCAGCACCAGTCGGGCTCTGAGCGGTGTGAAAAGAGCCGGAGCTAAACCGAAGAACCGGTTCTGAACCAGAAAAGCTCTAGCACGGAGCTAGAACGGGAAAAGCCTTGGTGTGAAAGGGGTACTAGAGCCCCATTGTGTTCTTTGTAACCAAATATCTCTCAGAGGGGCGTGGGGAGGGGCTCCTTATTTTCATCTAAAGCAGTGGTCGCCAACCAGTCGGTCGATCGCGAGTGTGGTGCGGGTAGATCGCGGACCGTTAAAAAAAAAAGTAACAAAAGAAATTAAAAATAAAATAAAAATAATAATATTTGAAAAATAAGTTTTTAGATGTAAACCTATCATCCACCACCCCGTTTGCAGGTGCCACTTAATTGACGTATATTTTAGACACCTCAATAATACAATACATTAACCGTGCTTTACGTGAACCTCATCATGACACAAGAGAGGACGGCAGGACTGCAATTTCCCGTGTTCAGTGAATGCAACAGAGGCATGACACCAGACCAATCAGAGAGTTGCATGGAAATAAACGTGTGCTTGTGTCATTCAAGCTCGGCTCTGTGTGTGTGTGTGGCAATAGCGCATTTAGTGTGAGGGAGAGGGAGAGAGGGAGAGAGAGGGACCGGTGCCAGCATGGACCGTGATGTTAGCATCTGGTTAGCTAGCTGCACTAACGGACATAAGGAGCTGTTTCCACAAGAAGCTGGAGGAGAGTCCTCTCCTCTCAGACTGAGGGGCTCAGGTGAGCTCAAGGACTCTCTGAGTGTTTAGATATAGTTCACTTTATAGTCCAAGTTATTTCAGTGGGTCTCAAACTGTTTTGTCACAAATTATTCAAAAGATTATTTCCGCGGCACACCTTCATATGATCATTATAGTTATACAAACAATAAGAGAAAAAATGAAAAACAGGTATGAAATACTATATGGCAGTAAAACAAGAATACAGTTTAAAAGGGGAGTGATTAGTAAAATATCCATAAAGAAAAAGAAAATCTGTTTACAGTTCTGCTTCATATGGGTGTTGAGAGAGGTATCCATAGATCTCTTCATGTTGCTCTCAAAGTGCACCAGATTGATGCTTTTAACTTCAATATTTAAAAAAATATATTCCCGGGGGAGCATCCCCCCGGACCCCCCAGAGGAGGTGAGGTCCGCCCCCCACTCATAAAAAAGAGCACTTTACCCCTGCCTATATGCCGTGAGCTGATTATCGAGCCTTCATTGTAACAGTAATTCAGATGCAGCCTATATAAAAGGCCTCAAATTGGAAGCACTGTCTGGGCCGTCTTTTTCACTCAATTCTACAATAGGTAGATCTCGCCTTTCACCTAGGCCGAGGTTGGTGATCTTGGGCTTAAAAAGGTTGGTGACCACTGATCTAAAGTAACAGACAGAGAATCAGCACTTTTGAAACAGGGCTGAAACAGAGGGGATTATGGGATGCTGCAATGATCCGTTTGGTGTTTCAGCCAATCAGAGACATGTTCTGTATATATCTGAGACCTGTAATATATTGATGCAAAACAGTATAATAGGGGACCTTTAACAGTGTTTTCAGCTTCCATCAGGTGTGTGTTCTCACCCTCTGGATGCCCTCTTCGTTGACACAGATGCTCTTGAACAAGGTTTTAAAGACTTTGCAGAGTGAGAAGGCAAAGAAGCGAATGGTGTTGAGCTGCAGAGAGTGAGCCATCTCCTCCAAGATGGCCGACGCCTCCTCCTGGACGTCAGCAGTCGCCTTGCCCGTCTCTTTGGAAATCTTGACGAATAAAAGAAAATGTTAAACACGTGCAGACAAAACATTAACACTACTCACTCAAATAAGTTGAATCTGGTAAACATATTTGACATCTGAACACAAACAAAACACAATGTCATACTTTTTACAACTGTGTAGTTTTTCAAGTCATGTATTGTTTCATTAAATGCAAAAAAATGACAGTCATTGGCAATAAAATATTAAAACTTCGGCTACCCCAACCAATGCTTATTAAATCTGTATGGAAATAAAATGTAAAAAAGAAAATAATTGGAATTTATCTTCTGTTTTTTGGTATTATAATATTTTAGATATTATTATGCCTCCAATAAATACAAATTAAAACATGTTTTTAAAATTAAAAATGTAAATAAACAATTAACATTTGTGTGGCAGATAGGTGTACAGCAATTGTTTAAATAATAAACTGTTATGTAGTAGCACTAATGTATAACGTATAGCTAATAAAGAGTAATAGTAAAAGTAATATTTTTGCTATACATTGGAAACCATCTCCTTAATTAGTAATAAAAGTGTACGTGTGTGCCCATTTAAAGAATGGTTTAAAACAGTGTTGAATGGTGTTCCTGTTTTAGGATAAGTTGATCATGTCACCTTCATAAAGAATATAACAAAGTTGAAACTGTAGTTGGAACAAAGCAGCGTTTACTAAATCCTGTTTGCAGTATTAGTCGTAACTAAATTGTCACTGCAGTGAAGTCTCTAAGTCACAAAAATTGATCAAATACAAGAAAAACACCAAAGTAGTGCTTCTCCACTTCTGAGTGTAATCTGGAGACCTCCTCCATTAGGTGTGAGTGGACCTGTCACTCACCTGGCGGATGACGTAGGTCAGCTGGTCCGACTGCAGCACCATGCTCTTCAGCAGGCCGGAGTGACACGGCGTCACTCCTTTATACGGAGCCGGAGTGTAACATCTGAGGCCGTACCGCAGGTCGCTGGACGTCCTCCTCTCCTCCAAAATGTCCTCAAAGTCATCCCTCTTCTTCAGCATAGGGTCTCTGTGCTATTATTTAAAATAAAAAAAACATCATACCATATTATAAATCAGACATTTCCATATTTCTGAGTTGTTGTCCCGGCCAATGACATTATGTTTTCTTTTTGATTTGTTTGTCTGTTCGTCAACAGGATTACGTAAAAACAATTGGCCGGATTTCCATTAAACTTGAAGAACATTGGTAGCATGAACCAAGGAAAAACCCATACAAATGTTGGTGCAAATCTGAATCAGAGCAGATACACATACCTAGGCAGAGGTCTGCAAATCTTTTATAATTTGTAAGCTATAAATAGTTGTATATATTGATGACAAAGTCACAGCAATAGAAATAATAGAATCAGATATGCTATCAGATAATACAATAAAAGCTGTATGAGTTGTCAAAATATTGTCATGGTGTAAACTTAGGGCAAAAGTCTAAGTACCAGTCTTATATATCAACAGTTCAACCCAAGCCTAACACACTGAGGAGCAGTATTAGACATGGGTAAAATCTCTTAAAGCCAGTAAATCAGTTCACTATGTAAACAGACAAAATGTGGTGAGACAAAAACACATTATGCTTAATAAGCACCAAATGCTCTGTTTGTTTGTTTTAGTATGGTTGTACATTGGTAGTAATGCATTTGGGTTTCACCTGTTTGTATGACATGTCAAATGTCACATAGGAGAATTAGCCACATTAGCTTAGCTCCCTGTCAAGCAAAGCAAAACATACATACCGAATAACCTGGGTTGGATGCCATCCTGTATCACACTTTACAAACTCATACACGATGCATTCGGTGAAGATATACACGCAGGGACGTTTGTCCGACTCCTGCCTCTTGAAATGTTGATATGAAAACGCTGAGGAACTTCTTTACATGGGCGTGTAACAAACTGGCATTTCCGCAACTACGGCAGCCGGGAAGGCTCATTCCGCCCGGTGGTGTTCACACGTGTTTTTTAACCAGACAGTTTGTTGTCATTTGGCTGTGGTCGCTAAATCCCGATACATTCGGGTATTTCTTGCTTTAACCTTGCTTGTACCATTCACTCAAAATGAACGGGAAAGAAGACGAAGATTGTCTGTTTCTTGAAAACATTTTGGATAAACTTTACGAGTTTGGTAAGTGCTGTTAGCTGTCTATGCTACGTTTACTAGCATGCATGGTATTGTGTGTTAATAATGTCTCTTTTGTTTAACCGTTGGTCCATTGGCCTAATGTAAATTCTAAAATCAAGAATTAAGTATTCCTTTTGTTATTTATGGTACTTTAACTCAGTGCAGCGATTGAACTGACTTCATAGTTAGCCACCGTTAGCTTGGTTGTATAATAACTTGCAACCATGGTCTTAAAGATGATTTTAGTGAAACTAGCGTACTGTCAAACTGACATACAAAGAAAATGTACCCATGGTTTATTTGCAGTTTATATAGACATTCAGAAACAACAATCTAACAGTATATAATTTAATAGCTAGCACTAACACAAATATGCAAACAATACACTGAGTAGCCACTATATTAAGACCACCAGCAGAATCTAATGCAATACAAAACAATCTGTATGTATGAGGTTGATTGTATGGTTGTTGCCATATTGTATTGCTTGGATTGTTTATATGGATTAATGTGTAATTACAGAAACAAATGGTAATATTTTATTCAGATTGTTCTTTGTCTGATGATTAGGAAAGGTATTAAGAGCACAGACAAGTTCATCATGTGTATCAAAAGTCGCAAGGAGTGGAATAATATGTGTAATTCTTGCTTTTGTTTCTGCCTGATGGTGCAGATGATGGACCGGCATCAAAAAAGAAGCACAAGTCTCAGAAGAAGAATAAACGAAAAAGATGTGAGGAAGAGGAGAAGGAGGAAGAGGTACCTGCAGTCAACGATGTGTGCAGTGAAAAAGCAAATCATGTTGGAACTGACAAGCAGCAACAAGTACAGAGAGAACAAACAGGTGACAGCAACAACAACACTCACATGTGAAAGGCTTCATATCTTCTATTGACTTGTTTCCAGGTTGAATCCAAAAGTCATCAGGTTTTTTTTTCATATATTCATGTTTAAATTGCTTAAACTTAATAATATATGATCACTGCAGCTTTACATATATACATTTCTCATTGAAATATGTTTTCTAACTCTCACTTCCTCCAGTAAAGCTTCCCCACTCCCTATTTTCGCCTTTGCTGAACTTATTCTGTGTTTTTCAGGTCCAGCCATCCAGCCGGCGAGCAATGTGGAGGTCGTAACGTTTCAGGACCCCAGAAAGAAACCAAGGATTAAACAGAAGCCTCCCTCTGAGAAAAAGCCTGTAAGTCTACACTCCTTTAGCTTTCTCCGTGTACCTACACATCAATGCCAAATCTGTTTTATTCAGGTCACATTATGACATGTTCTCAGGTGCATTAATTGTACATTGGCTTGCCATGTTAGTGGTAAAGATTAAGTAAGATTAGCATATATTTTTTAAAGTTTATGCATAATGGAAAATGTAGGACCAACACCAAATTATTATATATTGGTTTACTGTAAGTATTTAGGCTATGTTCTGTATTCTTCTACCCTTCATGTTTGGTTATGTTTTACATTATATGTGGCTTGTTAACACAAAAGGAGGTTGTGTTATTGATTGGAGATATATTGATTTACAGGATAGAACAGTGGCATTAACGCTCATTTAAGGACAAAGAAGAAGTAGTGGTGGAAGAGTAAAGTGACTTTTCTTTTGCAAGGTGTGACAAAATCCCGTTTGCAACATGAAGCCACCGTGTCCTGTTGCTGTTGTAACGAGAAGTGACAGTATATCTTACTCAGTTATACAACAAGTTGCAGACAAACAATGTTAGCAAGTGCAGAACCTTTGACATTTTAAAATCCAACCTCATCCATATAGACGTGTGACCTCTAGTTGACCCTCTCTGTTGATGCTCTTCCTGTCACCTCCACTCACTTCTCCTCCCTCTCCTCTTGTCTTTGTTGTCTTCTGTCCTCACCTCAAGGCTCCTCAGAAGATAACGGAGGAGAAGGAGAGCGACCAGCCAGAAGAACTCAGTTTGGAAAAGGTGACAGTTATATCACAGTTTAATGTTGTGTTTTCATTTTCAGTTATATACTTTCAGTTTTGCTGTTTGTGTGAATTGATTCTTCTCGTGGCTTCAATTTGTCGCTGCATCGCTTTGTTGAGATTGTTATTTGTGTAATTAATATAATTTAGGTCTATAGAATATGTCTGTTTTTTAATTCAAAGCTTCTATTAAGGTTTTCAAATGAAGCTTCAAAAAGTGTGTCATCAGATTTTGTGACGTCAAACCCCATAAGAAAATACCAGATTTAAAAAAAAAAAGCGGCTAACAGAAAACTGAATAACGCTTCAAACAACTGATGCAGCCCAAATATAATTAACTTTCAATTAGCCCAATTTCTATCTGTGATATGTTTGGCTTCATACTGTATTTGTGTTTGTTCCACATCAGGCCCGTCTTGAGGTCCATCGGTTTGGAATCACAGGATATAAGAAGGAGCAGCAGAGAGTGTTTGAGCAGGACCGAGCCGTCATGCTGGGAGCCAGAGTAAGAAGAACAAATGAATACTTTTGGTGTTCATATTTAATAAGCATAACAGCCTTTTTAAAAAGCTGATTTACCAATTCTTAACATAACTATTGTCTCTTTAATCAGCCTCCTAAGAAGGAATACACAAACTACAAGATGCTGCAGCAGCAGATCAAAGACAAGAAGCAGAAAGCAAGGGAGGAGGTTCAGCCGGTGAGACCTGCATGCATTTAGTTAGTTACATCAATTAAAACGTATTCAAATAAACAATACAATGGTAATGAAAATACATAATCTTACTCTGAAATGTTCTTGTACCCTGTTTTGTTTCTCTACAGGAGCTGAAGAAAAAGAAGAAGACCAGTAATCCGAGGTGGGTGAGACAGATGTTTCTAAATATATCTGGAACGTTTTTTCCAAGATTTCATGTGTAGAGATCACAGAGTGGTGTAAAGAATAATTAAACAGACACAGGCTCCAACCAACAAACAGTTTCATTTTAATAAGTGTCAAGAAATATGTAAATTATTTAACATTTTCCATAATTATCTCGGAGGCACAGAATGCATCCTTCTTTAACAAACAATGAATCTTACTATCAGTGGTTAAACCCGTTTCCTGCGCTGCTGTTTCTCCTGCAGGGACAAGAAGAAGAGGGTGAGCTCTGGTTCTGGTTCTGGTTCTGGTTCTGCATCTCGTTCTGGCCCCTCAGGTCAGGTGGGCCGCTTCAAGAATGGCATGTTGATCCTCAGCTCCAAGGAGATCCAGAACATCAAAGGCAACAAGAAGCGCAAATAGGTGAGTGGGTTCTTCTACTTTGAGCTAATGATGCAGAGAAATGAAAAAGGACAGCTACAGTTCTTATCTTGGGACTTAAAAGATAATTCAGATATTTGGAATTTTTGATTTTATGATCTAATTATCTATAGTCAGTAGATGTTGGTCAGCATGCCCCCAGTTTAAAGACACAGAAAGTGAACAGCTGTGGACAAAGGCACCACAAACCGTATTTTTCCACCTCAACAAATCAGTTTGGACTATATTTTAAATTCTTTACTCTCCGATAGTCCTTTCTGACAGGGAACTGAAGTCAATAGCCAGACTATTGACAAAAACAGCCATCTTACCTGATTTAAAGTGGACCTATCATGCTATTTTTAGGCAATAGCATAGGTCTCAGATATATAAATATATATAAAAAACATGTCTATGAAGTGTTTTGCTCAAAATACCAAACAGATCACCCATTCTAGCCATGCCTCATATCCCTCTATTTCACTTCCTGTTTCAAAAGTGCTGATTTGGGGTATAAAGCTTTAAAAAAAGGAGGGGGCTGAGCTCATGCGGGACCCGGCAGCTACTGTCTAAACTAAATACTGCCGTGATGAAACGCCATATCATGGATTATCAAGGATTGTTTCTGAAACAGTATGGAGCTCAAAGGCTTTCTCTCTTGCCGGTTATACCACAAGGTGAGTTCCTTTTTATTTCCTGCTTCTTCACACACATGCTCTCCAGTACAGGTTAGCTCTGAGTGTTAGCGATGCTAATGTAAACACCGACCATATTACGTCCAAAACAGTCGGGCATTGTTTCTGATAGCAACTTTCTTATAGTGCCGTGGGTCCACATTTCCGATATTATCTGGATCAGCTCCGTTTTTAGAGATTTGGGTACGGAGGAAAAGAGAGGGTTTTATTTTCTGACGCTGCGGGAGTTCCCCGACAAACCGGGGACACATATTTATGTATAAAAGACATCAAAAAGTGCATTTTGCATGATAGGTCCCCTTTAACTCAAAAGCTGCTTGTCTACCGCTACCTCGATCTGTTAATTTGTGTTATCGTGCAACTTTGTAGTACTCAAACTAATCTAACTAAGCCTATAAAATCACAAAGTCACACAATAACACCGACAAGCTATCCAGTGGAGGCAGCTGTAGACCATCCATTGATAAAGTAAGCATACTGAGAACATGTGTCAATGTTTATGTTTGTAGGTGAGCGACTAAATCCTCCAGGATAGAGAAAACAGAATGGAGCAGAGGAAGAACGGCCGTCAGTGACTCGGCTGACTCCAGGACTGTTTGGATGAGCACTAAATCCAACCTGAGGCTGTTTCCAGAGGAGAATATCAGAAAGTGGACGGACATGGATCCGCTTTACCAGCCTCCAAAATGGACCCTGAATGCGCACAGTGGGAGGACGTCAGTGAACAAAACTGGAGACTCTTGTGAAATAATTTTCCATCACAGTTAATTTATTTTGTTTTTATAAATAAGAAAAAAAAAGGACATTTCAGTTTCTCGTGTTTTACACTGCAAAGGTTTTTAAATGATGTTACAATGCATTTCTCATATACAAACCATGAAGTCGTACAAAACATTTACATTGGCAGGGAGAGGGAGGGGATCATTACAGGACAGATGGGGGGTAATTGTTAAAAAAAAACATATGATTCACACACAAGCAGACATGTTCATGAATAAACACAAAGTCTCTCATTGTAAACCCTTATTCACACGACTTCTTGACACCTGAAGATACTCCGTTCATGGTGTAAACATTTCAGATCATTACAGAAAACCAGATCTTGTCACTTTAAAGGGAAAACACTAAAAAAGTCGATGGTTTTCGAGCGATAAAGATGGCGAAACAAGAGGTGTGATCTGGCAGTGTGCGGCTGGGTGAGGTCACAAATTCTCACACCGTTTTTCTCAAAGCAGCTTTTGTATAATTTATACATAAAAATAAAATAAATTGTGAAAAGAAATATGAAGCTCATCTGCAGCACATTGTTTCAAGCTGTAAGCAAATCTGTTTCACGTTGAGATTGTGTAGCCAACCATAGACAGTAAATATATATATCATCAGAAGCCGTTCAACTTTAATACTGAACAAATTGAAGAGGGCACTATACAAAATAAAATAAATATATTTACATACTTTATAGAGTAAATCAATCTGGCATTCTTTAAAGAGCTCAAAGCAGTGACATGCTTGCCCCAGCATTATATCTTGAATTAAATTAAATCTCACATTCATGGGTGGGTAAGTGTGGGGTAAAGGGACATGCCGTACAAGCACTCTCACTATACCATATCTAGACAGGAGTGACTTTAAATAAGTGTTCTGTTTGTATCTGTCACATTGGGTATTGTTTTGATATATTAATTTAATTGTATTCAGAAAGAAAAAAGCATATTTTACCTGATAGAAAGTCTGACTTCCTGAATCTCCACCTACACGTATAGTATTAGCTATTATTCCCTTCCTTCTTCTGCATCCTTTTTGACATCATCACAGCCTGCAGACATGTTCCCCAAATCCTCTTTCAGACTTTCAGAAGAATGAAAGATTCACCTTTGGTTATCAGAGAGATGTCTCCCTTTGCTCGTGGGCCTAAAGTCTATTCCTGGTTGCAGCAAAGTTTAGCTCGGGGGCAGATTTCTCTTCTGATGGGGGGGGGGACGGTCAGAGCAGAGCAGCCTCACATCAGGCCAAAGTCAGCGGCATGTGGTAAGCTATTGGTCTGGTGCACGTCAGGAAAAAAATCCCCTTTGGCGGAGAGTTTGATGTTTGAGTGCTGGGTCGGGGAGAAACTGCTCCAAGTCCTGACTTTGACACTAATGCTGCATTCACGCCACGTGGGAAATATGGTAACTGTAGGCGCCAATTTCAGTTGGTAGACTGATACAGAATTCCAATTAATAATCAAATAAATTGGTTTTCTTTTGGACTATAGTGCCTGGATTTATTGTTAGCAATGAAATGCTTAATTCGAGCTAAGAAAAACGCGTTTTCTTGGCCACTTGAGGGCAGCAGAAACACAAGCGTTGATAACACTAACATCATCTTTTAACTTGATATGACGATCTTGTTAGAAAATGGTTGCTTTATTCAAACATCCAGCGGATACAGAGCAATGTTGACACTTCTTACTGTAGGTGTTGTGTTTTTAGCCAATAGACACATTTAGCCTAAATATTGTCTCTCTTTTAGCTAATTTCTTTGGTTTTCGCTCATGAGGGAGAAATCTGGTTAACTGGTACGTTGTTTTATCTACTGTGGGATAATCAGAGTAAATCAAAAACCGTTTAGGTCAAGATCAAGAAAACCAAAAAATGAGCTGAAAGACACTAAAACGCTCGGTTGACAGGGTGATTATTCTCTGTGGGTTCATCACTTTAAGTGACCCCGTTTCACATATGGTCCATTGGTGTCATTATAAGAGTATAGATTTTAGCCACTGTACAATTATATTTCCCACATTATTTGAATGCAGCATCAAGCCAGTTAGAAGGGCTCTGCAGACTTCCCTAACACACCTGCAGGTTGTAACATTAAAGGTAACCAGTTTGATACATGATAAATACATAATACCATCTCCATCTCCCAACAAAAAGCTTTATAAATATTCTTCAGTAGTAGTTCTTACTTTTCAAATAAAAAAATGAAAGATATTACCTTATTCTATTCTATTGTTCTACAATTAAATTGATTCTTTAAAAAAATAAGGTACAGGTTAACACATTTTATAATGTCCCTGCTGTTGTATTGAAAGAAGACCTCATGAATTCCAATGAGAAATACCTATATTATTATTATTATTATCTCTGTTACCTGCCATATTTAAAGTTGGTGTTAAACTGAGAGTTAAAAAGAATACAGGTTGGGTAAGTAAGATGTATTTGCTAACTGCAATCACAGATATTTGATATAAAATCTTGTAAAATGTAAATGATCGCTATTTTGTGTCCCTGATTAGACTTTTGAATATCATGAAAGCTGATCAAACGAGTGAGAGTAAGAGAATCTGACAACTCTCCAGATAAAATGTGTGCCACTGTTGTTTAAAAAGCCACAGATTAAAGGTATAATACACAGTCAGATGAGATCAGACAGGATTAGTTCATTAATCCTGTCGTTGCCACGGCCCACCAGCAGGGGGCGAGCTGTCGTAACAATTGGCTTTCACATCACTCATAGTAAAGACAGAAATACAGACCACTATTTACAATACAGCCTCAGATATTTTGTAAACTTGTTCAACGCTTAATCCATGCTTTATATCACACGTCATCAGTATTTACACTTCTTTGTTGATTTCCATTCTCTCAAAAAAACCCACTTTCTGTATGGCGGGTGTCTTCTCTCTCACTCACAACATTATAGGGGTTATACATATTTCAGATAGGTTAAAAAGATTAATTTAAACATTTCCATCCTCCGCTGCAATGAATTATATATACATGGGTAATGTAAAACAAACATATTTTAACCGTAGTCACAGTGGTTTGGTTGAATGTTGAAGCTACTCCTCTGGTGAGAAGTGCAGCAGCAGCTTCACCTGATGTGACTTTTCAAGATTCTTTTTGAGCACGACACATCTCAGATGCCTGAAAGCGATTCTACTGAGAGACTGAGAGATGAGCACAGAGGGAAATTACCATGAGGCAACGCACTCTCCTCATCCACCTTTTGATATATTATAGTAGCTGTTGGTCTTATGAAACAAAACAAAAAAAGAGAGAGAGGCTCAGTTTGTTGTTGAAATCCATCCCTCGAGGTGGAAACATTTCCTCGAAGACGAGGTGAATCCAGAGCTGGGAGAGGCTGCAGGGAAAACATCAAGGAAGGAAATGAATCAACCCTTTTCACCTCACTTTGATTCATTCAACTAGAAGAGGTACACACAACTTTGTAGTTTTGGCAACCAAATGAACTCACGCATATTTGACCCTTTTATCTCAATGACATGCCGTTTAGTCATTATGCTGTTCAGACAATATTATTTGAAAATAACTTAATTTTAAATTTAAAAGTGAGGATCCCAATGTTTATGTTCAATTTAAATCCAGCCATTAAAACATGGAGTCTTCGGATCGATGAACTCATCAGTCCAAACTCTATATAGATGTTAAAGGGGCGAGAGAAACTCCCTCTGGAGGTAACTTTGGGATTTTAGCCTTTGCAGACCATTTACATGCACTAAAACCTATATACCATTAAAAAAAGAAAAAGTATAAAATGGCCACTTTAAAATTCCTCCATTCTTAAAAAAAAAAGATGACAAGCCACCTTCAAATTGCACAACAAATCCTCACGAGACACGTACTGACTGCCAAAGAAATGCACAAAAACAAATGTATTATCTTTAAAGTTGCTAAATAAGACCTTTTTTCCCTGCAGGGTTTCCCATGCCCTGCCGATCTGTCACTGAAAAATGAAATGGAGTCGAGCCCAATCCTTCCCAGCGTTTAACCTCGGTGTGTAAACCTTTTTGACACCAAACAACCTTTGAATGTGATAAAGAAGGAGGAAAACCAGAACAGGCCGCGCTGACGGAGCCACAAGTGGGACGAAAGAGAGCGCTGAAAGAGAAGCTTTTAAATATTCCATGAGTGAAAAACATCCTGCGGTGCCGCTACTACAAAACACTCTCTTCATCTAGTTTTACCTTGAGAGATGGAAAGACACCTGAGAGAGAGGCAGAGCAACAGTAAGCACCGAGGATTCCTTTTCTCCTGCTCTTCCTAAAAGCACTTTGTTCTCCAGGAGTTTTCAAAACAGATGGTGATGGTTTCTCCTGATGGTACATTTGAAAGATAAATAGAGAAATTAAAAGCACAACATTTGTTTCACTGCACAACGCGGGAATCTCCATTTGATTCACTGCGAGGGCGGATTAGTTTAGTCTCAGGTCTGGAGGAAAAGGCTGTGATTTCCTTTTTGTTGAAAAGCTGGAAAAATAAAAAGTATGGCAATCCACGGTAACTCCAGTTCTCTCCGTAGTTATATAGCCAATAGAAACCATGATTTTATGCTTTCATCCCACATTTTGGAGCAGGGTTTCATGTTGAAGTGTATCCAAGAGAAAGGGCACCTTGAGAGGGATCGGATAGGGCTGAATCTCATCTGATGTGACTCAAAATGGTCCATGTGGGAGAAAACTGCCTGTGACATGGTTGTTGTAGATCCAGGCCTCGCTGTGAGGGAGGGTCTCCTACTGCTTTGCATTTTTTGGCAGCTCCAGGCCCGTCAGTAAAGTCGCCTGTAAGAGCAGAGCAGATTATTAGTGAGAGGGACAGAAGACAGACCTCGGATCTCGGAACAAATGTAGTTTAATTGGGAGAAGATTATCACATGATAACGAGTTGGATTTAGATACAATTCAAGCTGGATTAACTCAATGAACACTTCAATGCGAGGAGTATATTGGTCGACCCCTTTGAGTTTTCGGAATACTAATGGGATAAATTTAAGAAATATATTATTTGCTTTGTAACTTTAAACGCTTTCACTCTTTTCTGTCAAAACTGGTGCATGTACTGTGTCATTCAGTCCTTTAATTGGTGCATAAGATGTTGAATTTCGTACTGATATTTTTGCGGTTCCACTACTTTAATGAGTTTCTGTATTGTAGCGTATTACTGCTATGTGTTTCTGCTCTGTCATGCAACACCTACAGTATGTCATGTCTGTAATGGTGGAGGGATCAGTTCTCCTTCACTGCTTATTGCTACCTTTTTTTGTAATATGTAACTTAACATGCCTTGACTCAACACACAATAATGAATAAAGCCCCAAGGTTAAGTGTGATTAAATCCAGCTAGAATTATAACAATTAAAATACTGTATAATACTAGTTAAAGTTACAGTTACCACATTTTGAAAATCAGAAGACATGCAGAACGTACACAAAGAAAAGTCAACAAGATACAAGTGAAAGCAGCATTGCAGTTATTGCTTGAGTTGTACACACATACACACACACACACACACACACACACTCACACACACCTGCACGTTTCTGTTGATGCTGACGGCGGGCACGAAGACCCCGTCCAGGCTCTCGAAGGCGGTGGGTCCGTGCTGCACCTTGTTGATGTAGAAGGTCAGAGTGTGTTTGTTCAGATCCAGCAGGATGCCCACAGTGGAGCCCTTAGCGATGCCTCCCTCCGCCCTACACACACACACACACACACGCACACGCACACACACACACACACACACACACACACACACACACACACACACACAGACACACACACACACACAAATAAACAGGTTAATTGGTTGGTAAAGAATCACATATTTCAGGGGAAAGAAAGTGGAATAAAAAAGCCTCCTGCTTCACTGCTCTTCCCACTTATAAGCCAACAACATACTGATTTGGATACAATTCAATGGAGGAATAAAATGCTCCATACTGTGCTTCCCCCTCACTAACGTGTGCAGCATGTGGCAATCTGTTTTTCTTTTCTTTTTTGTATTACTGCCAATTTTTATTCCATATTTTATTCCTTATTATTCCATTCAATTTCTATGAAAATACTGTTATATTTTACTATATTTTTTAAATTATTTTCTAGTTGTCTATCTCTGTATTTAATTACATTTGTACTTTTATGTATGCACCACGACATCAAGTCAAATTCCTCGTACGTGTCAACCTACCTGGTAATAAACCCGTTTCTGATTCTCTGTCTACAGGCTGTGGTTTAATAAGGTTGACCCAGCCTTGCAAAGTGAAGCGATGAGGTTCCTTTTTTTCCTTGTAAATGTATCACTTAAATCTCAGAGAGTATGCCAGTTTTCCTCTCGTGACTTTACGTTTTATGGACTCCACATGGACCTAAAACACCAAAGTAGAGAGTGCGATTGAAGCTGCGTATTTGCTAAGAAGCTAATGTGTGAAACCACCTCTATAAATGTAAGAATGTAAAGCCTGCTTTAGGACCGGGCTGAGTGAGAGTCAGTGCTCTGAGAGGGGCGCAGGAATCAATATGCTGTAAATAACAACATGAAACACGGACATGACGTGATAAACGACGTTAGAGCGGAGGGCAGAGTAAATAAATCACTAGTATGGACAGAGGAAGAGAAAGATCGTCAGAGCTTTTGGCTTACTCCTGTGAAGAGTCAACTGTTTTCTTGTGAAGAATAACAATATTTCTTTGTAAATACATTTTTAATGAGGGTTTGATAGTTTGAGATGTTTTGATGTCTCCTGCAGGTTGAAGTATTTTTCCTT